CTCGAACCAAACAATTTCAAAAAAACCTATAAATCGCTCTAAATTTTGCGAAATGACTAGGTTTTGAATTGAACTATTTAAAAAAAAGAAAGTTATAAGCTAGGGAGTGGATAATTTTGCATGTTTATTTGTCTCACTATCGATTTCATTAGTGGTCTTTTCGTTCTTTAGGAGGTTTTAAGGAATAAGGATGGTGGATTAGATTCAGGTGAAAACTTTTGAGATTTGAGATGGAATAACTTCAAGAATATAAGGGGTGTACCGATCATGATGAAAGGATTTGTTTGAAGCATAATAAGGAACATCGAAATTAAATGGAGGACTTTAGATTGGAAGGATTGGAGGCATTTGATGTTCAATTCCATTGTTCCAGATTGGCTTCAGTATGGTCTTGTATATAAATAGTTTTTTTTTTTCAATTAAGAGTTTAGTTTTTTTTTGTTAAATGGTCTGTATAACTGCCCAAATCTTCGGTTAAGTTCTCATATTTTAATCTGGTTTGTGGATTACATGTTAGTATTTTGTCTAAAAGGAATCCAAGATACCAAACTGTATTGGAGATGGGAATAAGTAGAGAGTTGAAAAGGATATGCACCACTGCTTTATTAGAGAGATGAGTCTTTGTAGGTTTAGGGATGCTGTTTCAGGGTCACGGTAGGATGATAAGATGGCGGTGACGTCAGCGAATGTTGCTAGAAGGTTATCGGTATTGGTTGGTATGTCAGCGGTGAAGAGGATGTGGAGAACTGGGCTCAAGACACTTCCTTGTGGAACACCTGCCTCAACTGGATAATAATTGGAGAATTCAGTGCCGCAACGGACTTGAAACCAACGATTTGAGAATTAGATACAAGGATTGGGGTAAGTGTGTTTTGAGCTTGAAAAGCAAACCATCATGGCAACTGAAAAATTAAGTTTATTTAAATAAAATATCCACTTCATTAATCTAGTATTCGCGTTATTCATAGTAAATAACTATTGTAAAGGTTTTCGACCTGTCTGTAGTGTAAATTTCTTTCCTTATAAATATGGTTTAAAGTGTATACAAGCGTATGATACAGCTAGTAATTCTTTTTATATTTTTAAGTAATGCTGTCTGCGATAGCGTTCTTGAGGCGAAGGCACTAATGTGCTATTTATTTTCTAAGATTTGGGATAATACTGCTCCTAAGGTAACTGAATTAGCATATTTTGGTGAAACAAAAGGTAGATCCCAGTTAGGAAACTGTAGTACTTGATAATTCACTAATTGTTGTTTTAATAATAAAAATGAATCTTTAAATTCTTCTGGTTTTGTTAGGTTTGTTCCTTTCCTTAATTTTGATGCCAGTGGTTTAGCAATGTCGGTGTAATTGTGTGTGAATTTGCGATAGAAATCTGTCATTCCGAAAAAAACGCTTTATTTCCTTTTCTGTACTGAAAAAGAACTGTTTTGGAAAATATTTAATTGCTTCTATTTTCGAAGGATTCGTTCTAATACAGTCTGAGGAAATAATATGTCCTAAATATGGTAGTTATGTACTCTATATTCTATTTAGTCTAGTTGTATTGATAAACATTGTTGACATAGTTTTTTTAAAACGGTTTGTAAATGTGTAATGTGTTCCGATATTTAAAAAAAAAATCAGAAGAATTTATGGATTGTTTTTAGAAAACGACTTAGAGCTGAAATCGATGTACAATGAGGATGATGCAATACAGCACACCAAGCTAGGAAGGCTACGCTGGGCTGGACATGTCGGAGACGAAGAGATTGCTGTAAAGCGTTTCGTGAGTAAAATTCGGAGTTCCTCCTGAGAGGAATGTGTAGCTTCAGATTCCCAAGGATGTATGTAATTGGAAGGAAGCAGCACTCAACAGAGAAAACTCATGATCAATCAATGTTGAAGCTGGCCAAGACTCAACTTTGTGTGTCGTTGAGACGATATAAAAGAAAATAGCTTATAGCTTTGGAATGCTATCGATTGTCTTCAATTCATTTAAAAGATCGGTTTTCTATAATACGATTTCAATAGCTTCCTCATTACCATTTTATAGCTTTCTATCGAAGAGCTTTTTGAACTGATTGAACCAATAAGCTTAATAAGGTCTTCGCGTTTAGCGGATCTAATATGTTATGTACTGGTTCTGTCATTCGTAGAAACAACAACCGTCCAGTTTTTTTAAATGATAAGCAACATGATAATATTTTGAAGCGGCGAAATTGTACTAATCTTTATAAGAACAGGATAAATGTTAGGCATTGCTTTTAAATACATTTTTAACCAAATTTAAAGATGTAGTTCCATATAGCCTATTACAACGGACTTAATAATCCTGCAATGTATCGCCCTAAAACCATATTCTATCCTTCCTCCAATTATTACATCTACGTTATATATATTATTTATAATAAAACCTCATATAAACTGATTGGAAAAATTATTGGAAGGTTTCAAAATAAATAAATTATCAAACTTCATAGAGAAATCGTTCCTTCGGATAAAATCAACCATTTTCGAAATAAATAGTAATTCTTGATGAATACCTCTTGGTAAAATTATTGTCACAGGTTTTTATCAATTACTTAGATTTTGAAAATTAAAATATTCCGATTTACGATAGTCTTCGACAAATTTTAAATTCAATTTATAGGTAAATAGATGCTATTTCTCTCTGAAAAGAGATTTAAAATTTATATAACTCTAAAAGAATAAAAAAAAATATTCTTAAAACCATGGTAAGGCCAGTGGTTATGTATAAATCTGAGACATGGGCGTTAACCATAAACTCAGAACGCATGCTCAACTTCTGGGAGGGAAAAGTCTTGAGAATTATATGAGTCAGTGAGAGCGGATCTGGAGAACAAGGAATGAGCAGCTGCGAGAACTGTTTGGGGAACTCGATATTGTGGCATTTGTCAAAAGAACCCGCATAAGATGAATAGATCATACAGAAAGTCCGACCAAATAATGTCAAAGAGGATGCTCTATGTGAAGACTGATGGCAAAAGAAATAGAGGACGCTCTCGGCGTCAACGGTTGGAGAATGTGGAGAACAATCAGTGGCGGCTGATTGTTCGAAGATGGAGAGAGGTACAGCAAGAAATTGGTTGGCTGTAGTGGGAAAGGCTTGGGTACTTGCAGGGCCTTAGTGCCATTGTTATAAATAAAAATAGATAAATGGGGAAGAATAGCTCTATGATCCGATGGAAACTTAAGATAGTACAGAAGGAAACTTTTTATATTTTTATTAAACGAAAAAAAAATCCAGATGAGGCTGCTATATCCACAGTAATTAAGTTCTATACCCATATAAACCAAGGATCTTCTTTATGAAAGAAATATGTTTTGAGTGAACACAATACTGGATTATTTTAAGTGCGGGGATATCTGTGTCAGCGGGAAGGATATTTTCCAGTAGGACAAGCTAATCACTTATTAAGAAACTGTTATTTTAACAGCCGTGGTTAAGTACGAAAATTCACTAACTTAATTGAATATCTCGATAATCTTATATTGTATACACCAATGGACTTGTTTGGATGGTGTCGCTAGTACATTGAATGAATTACGGAAAAGGTAGATATTTAATGCTAGAGTCGAAGCAGATTTCTTATGCATTGCTTCTATATGGGTGTTTTAACCCAGAGGTGTCCAAACTTTTGGCCCGTGGGCCACATTGAGACCTCCACTAAGTCCCGCGGACAAAGGTTTCTGATGAATAAAAAAATCTTGTTTTATAAATGAAACTTCAGTTTTGAAATGAGTTTTTTAAGAGAAAATAAACATGCGATAGATATTGTAGTAACCTCTTGTAATTTGCTAAATTTCATATTTTCAAAATAATTTTTAAGACAGACAAATAATCAAAGAAACTATCGCCGGCCGTAGTTTAGAGACTCACGTTTTTTTTAAATTTTTTTTTTATTCTCTTTAACTATTTATCCGCACCTGTCATGGTAATGACAATCAGCAGATGTGTTGTGATGATGAGGATTGGCATTACAGGCATGAGAAAGGATAGTACCCAGCAGCACCTCTTCCTGGCCATTATTTACTTCTTTGATTTAGGTGAGGAGATCTCCCATCCAGCTCCTTTTTCATCTCCTCCTGATGGGCATGTCAGTCATAGCCATGTAGTTTATAACTCTGTATGCGTGTCCGTGTAGTTTGAGAGAAAAACGAGAGTAGAGAGTACATATGTGTTGGTCTATAGTTGATTGTGAGTACACAGTGAGAAGAGAATTTTCAGTCGCTTGTTTAACGTCTGTCGTTTCATTTTCACGTGTGGGCTCCAGGTCATCCTTCTGTCGAATATAGTCCCAGGTAACGTACTGTGTTTGTCTGAAGAATTTGGTCCCCTCCTATATAAACTGGTGAGCACATTTGTCGTGTTATATGTTGAGTTTTGTCATGATTTCATGTTTTAAGTAAATTTATAGATGTAGTGCCATGTAGTATATCTTGTGAATTGAAGGGTTAATATAGTCAAAGTAATCCAACAATCATCCTACAACATTACCAAGCAATTTCAAAACATTGACTGCAACCTACGCTGATGATACAACAATATTAAGAAAACATTATAACTTTAGATAAACCTCACTGAATTTACAAACATCACTTACAAAATAAACAATGACTAGAAGAGGCACTGCTGGGCACTATCCTTCCGCATGTCTTTAATGTCAATTATTCAATTCAACAACAAATCTGCTGATTGCCACTATCATGACAGGTGCGGATAAATATCAAAAGAGAAAAAAAGAGACAATAGTTGTGCTTAACGGCGCAGGGATTATGTTTGGTTCTATAATATTTTTAGACATGGAACCTTCCATGATTGTTAATTGAAGAATTCGATGTTTGTAGCAAGAGCGAAGAGAGATGACTTTGCTGAGAAGAAGTGGAACAGCATAGGCTAATGATTGAGGAGAGGGGAGTGGAGGGGGTAGAGACGGCAAGGAGGTGGCGCGGCGGGCGGCGAGCGGGGGAGGAGCGGCAGAGCTGGGGGGTGGGGGACCAGTGATGTGATGGAGGACTCGCCGGCCACCGGGGCTACCGGCAGAGCTGCCCACAGCGGCGGCCGGTTCGACTTCGACGACGGCGGCACCTTCCTCGGCGGCTGGGAGGACGGCAAGGCCCACGGCCACGGCGTCTGCACCGGCCCCAAGGGTCAGGGGGCCTACTCCGGCTCCTGGCACTACGGCTTCGAGGTATCCGGCGTCTACATATGGCCCAGGTACGTCTCTGTCTGTAAACACTAGTCCATCTAGTCGTCCGTATGTGCCAAAACAATCATTTCCGAGGATTACTATTTCCAACATTTAGGAACCTCCATACTGATGGTGCATGGCAAACGTGGTATACCTAAAAATGACTGAGAATGAAAGAGGGTACCTAAGATTATACACTCGTACACCCTTCAAAATAAAAAATGAGCTGAATTAATTTACTGCAAGGAACATCTTCAATGCATTACACTATAATCTATTATCAATTGGTTTACTTGATTCTGAATAATCACTTTAGTGATAAAGATAATTATTGCAGTAGGAAGCTACTAAAACTACAAATAAATACTTCGTTAAATGAAATGATGTGTCCTGTATGGTATAAACCATAAATGTAGTTAAGCTGGCTCCAAATACATTTACCGTAATAAGTCCAAATGCTGAACCACACATTTCTAATCCATGACTTGAAAAAAAATCTGCTCTACATGCCACTTCGTTTCGTCTATTTCACCTCAGAATAAAACGGCTATGCTATAAATACTCTATTATTCCTAGGCTTGTGACAGAGGAGCTGTATTATTTGGACCAGGTTCGGTGGGAAATATATTTAGATTGGTTGTGAGGTAAAGGCTCTTATTTAAAGATGACCATTTGTCACGTTCTCATTACGGATCCTTGCACGATCCGTATTTGGCGATGTACTGTAAACACTGTATGCTCTCAATCATATCTAGATGATATGTTTGGATTTGAAAGAACTTGTCCGTCGGGAACGCTTCGATGTAATGCTGTATTGCATGAAATTTTTAAATTATGTTAATACATTCCTTGTATTGTTCCCATTCTTGACAAGTGATAAGACATTTGTCACACTTTCCGATGTATTAGTGGTCTAATAGACAGAATCGTTGCTTTGGAAGGTATAAAATTGGGTGAATGAGAAGTACCATTGAAGAAGATGGGCCATTCATGTTTGGACGGTGGGGGGCACAGCCCCATTCATGTGTTCGATACCACCCCCTCGAAATCTTCCCTGAGCGGCCTAACTGGGTCAGCCACGCTTTCCTCGCGGCCTCCTCTCCTTCCATATTATAATATCTTGTGTGTATGTTTATTTTACTATATGTATCGTTCGCTATAACGGAAATAGTGTATCGAATGGAAGGCCCTATCAGGTTGTTTATCGATACTAGGAAATTGAATTCCTTTCAAAATAAAGTTCAGGAAACTTTAGTAGTATTGGAAATATTCATTATAAAATATGGTGAGATGACCATGGTATAAATACCGTAAAAGTAAACTTTTATTAAATATTATAATTTTAAAATTACATTCGTTTATTTATTTGCTATTTGTTCAATATTTATTACTTAACACCCCGTGAAGTTCTGAATACACAGTATTTTGCAATCACATTTTTCTTTTTCTTTTTTGTGAATTGATTAGTTTTTTGTCGTATTTTCATCTGGAGCTGATATAATTTTTTTTTTTTTTTTTTTTTTTTTTTTTTTTGACTTGATTCTTCAACTCACACCTGTCAGAAGTTCCGACAATCAGCGAGTGTGATGTCAAGATGAAGAGATTGGTCTTGGAATAGGCGTGAGGGAGAGGAGTACCCAGCGGCGTCCTTCCTGTCTTGAGCGTAATATTTCTAGTTAGTGGAGGAGATCCCTCATCCAGCTTCTTTTAAGCCTCCTTCGGGTGCTATCGGGCATGTTAGTTGTGGCCATGCCTCGAATCAATGAGTTTGTATGTCCGTGTAAGTTATTATGAAATCGTTTGTAGTATGTTCGTATGTGGTCGTTAACTGTTGGCATCTGTAAGTCTTTATGTAGAGTAATGTTACTGACGTACCAGGGAGCTTTGGTAATAGTCCTGAAAGTTTTAGATTGAAAAGTCTGTAATTTACGTATGTGAGTCTTTTTGGCTGTCCCATATATCTGTAAAGCGTAGGTCCAAATAGGCTTGAGTAGGTAAGTATATGTATTCAATTTCTGTCTAAGTTTTAATTTCGAATTTCTTGCAAGGAGTGAGTACAATAGGCGTAGTCTTAGGTTTAAAGTTTTTGTTTTGTTTTTGATATGTTGGCCCCATGTCATTCTTCTGTCAAAGGTCAGTCCAAGATATTGAACTTTGTCTGTCTGAGGAATTTGGATATTGTCAAGGTAAATAGGGGGGCAAGTTTCACGTCGAAGGGTAAAAGTGATATGTTGTGATTTGTCAAGGTTGAGTCGAATTTTCCAGAGTTTGCACCAGTCGTAGAAATTGTTTAGGTGATATTGTAAAGTCTGTGAGGCGTATGCTGAATTTTGATGTCTTGTCAAGATTGTTGTATCGTCTGCGTAAGTCGCGGTCAGAGTATAGAGAGGATCTGGAATATCATATGTGTAAATAATATACATCAGAGGAGCGATTACTGACCCCTGAGGCACCCCTGCTAGGGCTGGTTTAATGGTAGATAGTTCTGTACCTTGGCAAACAGAGAAAAATCTGTCAGAAAGAAAAGATTGAAGAATAAGATAGTAGGTTGGAGGGAGTATAGTCTTAAGTTTGAAAAGAAGTCCCTGATGCCAGACTCTATCGAACGCTTGAGCAACATCCAGAAATACTCCTGTTGCATATAATTTGTGCTCTAGTGCTGTCGCAATGTAGTCTGTCACTCGGTGTAGCTGATGAATGGTTGAGTGGTGTGAACGAAATCCAAACTGATGTTCAGGTATTATGTTTTCAGTAGTCAGTATGTCAAGAAGTCGTTTGTAGAGAAGTTTCTCAAAGATTTTAGAGCATAATGGGAGCAAGCTGATGGGTCTGTATGATGAAGGAAAGTCAGTGTTTTTGTTAGGTTTGTGAATCATTTTTATGAATGAGTATTTCCATTGTAAGGGGAATTTAGTCGTTCTGAGTATTGCGTTATAAATTGATGTTAGGTATACTAGAGCTTTCCTTGGCATTTTCTGGAGCACTTGAGCATTTATCAGGTCATGACCGGGAGCTTTCTTTTTAGGTAACTGTCTGATTTGTTCTGCAACTTGAGTGGGAGTGAAGCAAAGTGGAGGTAATGACAGTTGTAAAGGAATGTCTAAAGTGTTTTGTACATGTCTTTCGTGATCAGTATTAGAGAAGTCAGTATGTGGTATGAAAACAGAAGAAAGATGGTTGGCAAACAGCTCAGATTTTTCAAGGTCTGACACAGCCCAGGAACCATCTACGTTTCGGAGTGGTGATGACACCTCACAATGCTTTACAAGTTTCTTAGTCTGTCTCCATAAGCTTCCATCGTCAGTCGAAAGATTTTTGAGGTAATTGTCGTAGATCGTTCTTTTAAAATTCTGAATCTGTCGTTTAAGTTCATTGTTAAGTCTATTGAAAGTCCGTTTGTCAGATGGAAGTCGACCAGTCTGCCACACTTTGCGCGCTCTTCTCTTTGCTCTGATCAAGTCTCTAATGTACTGCGGATAGATTGGAAGAGACGTATTTCTGCTAGGTCTTGGTACAGATGATGACCATACAGCCTGTTGTAAGCTGATTGTGAACTTATCAACAGCTTTTTCGAGTTCCTCTTCGGTCTTAAGGGACATTGGGATTGATAGCGTCGAATTTAAGTAGTCGCTGTAAGCTTTCCAATCGATTATCCTATCTGTAAGTGTTGGTTTTTTTGATGCAGTACGAGGCTCATCGCATAGTACCAAACTGAGAAGAGAATGATCAGAACAAAGATCAGAGCTTGCAGTTATAGTTTAATAGCTGTGAAACAAGTAAATGTATTTCTATCCACAGTTCTATTAGTCATTGGTTGAATTGCAATACTGTTTGCAACATGGCTCCTTACTCTGTTGACACTTATTGTTGTATTATTCGGTCAACGCTTGTTTATCTGTTCTATTGTTAAAATTGAAAGTTCATTAGACAAATGTTAAGTAAATGATTTAAAAAATAAGTTTCCACCGTCCTTTTAAACTTTTATGATTTTTTATTATATTTAATTAGTAAGGATTATTTCATATAAGAAGTAAAGTTATGGTTACTAATTACATGAACGCCTTACAAATAATATGTAGTTGTTACGTTGTATTAGATTACGAGAACTTTACGAGGTAAAAAGAAGTTTGCCAGTTCGCGTAGAACTTATGTTAACTTGGGTTGTATAGTTATAAACTGGATAATAAGTTTTTTGCTTAAGAGAATCAGTTGAGTTTTTTTTTTTTTAAATTAAAATTAAGAAAGCGCTGTAATGATAAGCATTTACATTTAGTTTCTGTAACCCGATTGGAAATAACTATGACTTCGGCGTGTTCACTGATCCTAAAATCACTCATAAGAAAGTAATAAATTTTCCAATGCATAACATTTTAAACCACTTGTACCTTCTTATTTAGCTAATATCATAACTTAATTTATTTCACAGATCAATTATGTATTAAAAAAAAAGTTGAGCTTTCTTGTAACCATCAAAATGAATAATCTCTTAAGATTCTTAATCACTGCCGCAGATACGAGGATACTGCCGGGACTAACTTGCCCCACGATACAACTCGCCAGAGTTGACCTATGGGCATCTCATCCTAGAGATCATCCACCAAGGTGCAAGCTGTAACAGTACCTTAACAACGGAGACTGTGGCTTAAGAGCCGAAAATTGAAAAAAAAAAAGATTCAATTCGTAAAGGATAACGATTTTTAAACACACCTGTGGAATAACATAATTTTAAGAAGGAGCCTCTAACGTACAGTGTTGGACATGCTACTTAAAATTATGACCTTAAATAAATGAATAAATATGTCATTAAACAAAACTAATATTCTTGAATAGATAAATTTCGAAGCGGAATTTTGTTTATTTTAGAATAGATAAAGAAGTATTCTGGAATCGTTACAAGTAATTATATTTGTAATATTAATGATTTTGATATTCCTCTTCACACGTTATTCATTTTTTATTCTATATTAAACCCCAAGAAACTTGACAAAGAATAACCACTAAGATTTTTCAAGTGACATTTTGAAAC